TTAAGACAGTATTTCCCGAATAAACATATTGCGACAGTAAAACACCTTGGCATTTACTATCTGCAATTTTTAACTTCAAATTTAAAACTAAAAATAAAGATAAGTTAATAGAAAATTGGTTTTCGACTACGTTATCAGAAAATCCAATATACTGAGATGAGCGGAATGCTTAGTTGCTTTTTTTTTTACAGCGACGTTCACTCTATACAAGGCCCGGGAGCCACTCGAGATAGCAAGTTACAGAGTAAGAGGCACACGTTATGCGGATATATGGGGAACATAATGGTTAACTGTATTTGAACAAGTTAAGATGGCAGTGATCGGGAGAACGATCTTGGGAGCGTTTCCAGCTTAGAAGCTTTCAGTCGTTATCGCGTGAAGGCAGCGTGGCACCGCCGATCGTTCGAGTGAGCATACGAACCGTTACTCCGTTCCTACGGTTTCTCGCGTACTGGACGGGATAGCTGTAGCCACGGCCGACGTAACACGTGTCGATCGGCAGGATAAAACTAATCTGTCTCACGACGGTTTAAACCCAGCTCACGTTCCCTGTCAGTGGGTGAACAATCCAACCCTTGGCGAATTCTGCTTCGCAATGATAGGAAGAGCCGACATCGAAGGATCAAAAAGCGACGTCGCTACGAACGCTTGGTCGCTACAGAAGCTTGTAAAGTTTCGTCTGTGAGAAACGTGTTCGAGGGTGGAAAATTATTTGTCAGCCACAAGATGGTAGTGTTCGGGAAAACATCCTCTTGGCAGCTGTTTCCACAAGGTTCCACAAGGCAGCTGTTTGTGAGAAGAAGATGCTAGTGTAGATCTTACATCTCCCTCATGGAATACGGAAGAAATGAGGGTGGTTTGGTACAATGTTCGTAGCATGATGGTTCTTCAACGTGAAGGTTAACACTGGTGAAACTAAGGAATATAGTTCGTCCGAGCACTTTCGATGGAAGTAGCGATAAAGCAATGAGAAGTTTGCGACATTTTGTCTGTGAGAAAGGGGCCGTAGGATGGAAAATTATTTGTCATCCACAAGGATGTCGAGGCGTTTTGGGCAATATCGAAACTGAAAAGTGAGGACTGTGCAGCTCCTCCCAAATTTGACAGTAGTACATTTTCTGCCTGATCTCGATCTAGTTAAAGTAGAGGGAGTCAGGTTCTTACTTGTGCGGCACAGAAAACCGACCAATTTTCCAGCATCTTTAGCAATGGATCTTATGCACAAGCTCCACTAAGATCTGTGCTGAGTTTAAGTCCTAATAGGCGCTCAAGGCATGGGGCCTCCCTGAAGTACAGTCCGTTCATCGTGATCTTTCATGAAAAGATCGGCGATGAAAGAATTTTATAGAAATTTCCATTTCTGTTACGTCATCAGGGGAGTTTAAAACATAGAAATCAATAATTTGCTCATTTTTATACAGGCATGTAGAAAAGGGACACACACACAAGCATATATAGAAGGTGCGATGGATAAATTGTCGTCTAAATTATACAAAAAATGAAAATAATACTGACATCGTATTTTGACAGATATATTTACCAAAATTACACAAAAATATCTTGAAATACTAAAGAGTAAATTTATTCAATAAAATCGCCATTGGCTTCAACCACAGCTTCCAGGCGACTTCGGAATCTCCTGTACTTCCTGTTGGTGAATGCCGCTATAATCCTTGCCTTTAGTTCATCTTTGGTGTTACAAGGTTTTTTGTTGGTCTCTCACTCAACTGCGTCCCACACATAATAATCAAGGGGGTTGCAATGTGGGGAGTTAAGTGGCCAGATGTAAGGGGTGATGTGGCCGTAGAAATTGCCTGACAGCTATGACCGGGTTTTCCTGCTTGTGTAGCATGGTGCAGAGTCCTGTTGCCAGATATAGGGTCTTCCAGTAGCCACTCTTTTGATCCAGGGCAACAGTACCCCCTCAAGGCACTTGATGTAGGTCTCCGTGTTGACTTTGAGGCCCTCTCCAACAATTTCGGGAATTTTTTTATCAGAATGATCAGAGTGAGTTTTCCGAGCTGCCGTGCCTTCGTAATCACCATTAGATTCATTCAACTCTTTCCGAATCTTCTGCAATGTCCGCAGATTGACACTGAAACACTCTGAAATATTCATATTGGAGCTTCTGGCGTGAATGGCAAGCAGTACAGCATGCCATTTCCAAATTTCTGGCGGAGTTAATTGCGTCATAGTGTGTTTTTACTCACAACGATGCCCAACTGACCCTAATATACTGTGCAGTCGACAAAATCAATAACCAACAACGCGCATGCACGAAATCTATATCTATAATTTTCAAATTGTGTGTCTGTGTGTGTGATCGGATGTTGTTTATGAGTTTCCACAGTTTTCATCCGATTTCGATGATTATATTTTTTTTTTTGTGTGTGTTTGATAGATAATTCTTCAGTGTCGGTTTTGTGTCCAAACTGACTGGCAAAAATTACAACCATGAAGGTGAAAAATCGAAAAAACTGATTTTTTACACTTTGCGCCAAAATCAAAGGCAAAATTTAATGTCTGTAAAAAAAACAGCGTACAATCAATTTAGAGAGTTAAAAATCTAACGCAAAAAATTATTAGAATTATAACAAAAAAAAAAAATTATATTTTAAATAAAAATTATCGTATATTATTATGACGGTCCATGGAAGAGGTTCCTTCCTTGGAAGATTGAGAATGCAAAAAACGGCCCTTTTCATAGCCACCCTCATTCAAATTGTTACCCCCCCCCACACACACATTTAGGCACGTGCTTCAGTTGCACCCAATTGTTGTTACTAATGTTAATTTTCGGGTGGGCTAATTTTAAACTTAAACTGTTCCAATTGAACGGCAAAAATTCCCAGTAATGAAACACCCGGTCGAAGACGGATCATACTGCTAGTTAAAAATATAAAATAGCGCCAATATACCCATCGCAGTTTGAATATGAATATACACTAAATTTTAGATACGTGGATTAGAATAAAAGCAGAGAGGATTGAACCCACTATATGTAGAAATAGATTTTTAAGGCCTAAGAGCCATTCCAGGTAGAGGTGTACGAAACAGGGATTTAATAAAGGCATATATAGAGAGGGCAAGGATTGCATATAAATAGAACATGTAGATAGATAATGGTTGAACCGCGACTTGTAAGAGTTCTGGGGAAGAAGTTGTACTTACTCCTTACCAATGGAATATGAAGGGATTGTGGATGAGTTGACTCAGTATGTGTGATATTGTGGGTCCTAGCTGTGAAGGTCTGAACTAGTGGAACCAAGAGATGTAGTTCACCTGAACATATGCCATGAAAATTGAGGTAGAATAGAAAGTGTGTAACGTCTGTGGGAAAGGGGTTGAAAGTTGGGGAACAATTCATCACCCACAAAGCTGCGTAAATGTATTTTTAACTCGTTTGATGTGACAGCAATAATCGGTTTTTGGCCTGATCTGACTCTTGCAAAGACAGAGCAGGATAGCAGATTATAATCTTTTTATTTCAGAGACAAATAGCATTTACTGCGTTTGCTGGTCAAAAAGGATAATTTTTAATTGACAGAACGAAAAGGAAAAAGAAAAAGGACATTATATCTCCAAGTTTTCATTCAGTTAATGTTTATCCATCATTCCTGCAATCTATCAGTATTTATGATCAAAATTAAGAAAAACATCAGGTGAGGTGGCATAACAGTTAACAGAACCAAGAATGGAATTGACGAATTTGTCTCTCTGCACCTTCTTGGTCTCACGCTTTCTATTGACCTTAGGTGGAACAACTACATTGAATCAATAGCTACATCTACCAATAAAAAAAAAACTGGTTGTCTGTGTTGTGTCAGAAGGTTTTTCTCATCTGAGTCCATCCTTTAAATCAACAAATCAACCATTCACCCTTGCATTAAATACTGCTGCCATATATGGTCTGGAGCCCCTGCTGTTCATCTTGAGGTCATCGGCAAAATCCAGAGACGGATATGCAATGTGATAGGTCCTAATCTGGCATCTTGTCTACAGTCATTTTCTCACAGATGTGCTGTGGCTTCCCTCTGTCTTTTCTACAAATATTTTCATGGCAACTGCTCTCACCGGTACCCAAACTGCAAGAATTTAAGCATGCTTCTAGGTCGGCATCTCGGTCCCACCCTTATACTGTCGAAACGGTTAAGTGTAACTCCGACAACTTCTTATCTCGCTCTTCCTGACAGTGGAACTCTCTTCCTCTTACTTGCTTCCCTGATAGCTATAATCTTCAAATATTTAAATGTAATGTCAATTGACATCTTCTGATGCCTTGATCCTGATCCCTGTCATTCTCTTTATCCTTCCCTCAAACACCCCCCCATCTTTACTCTTGTTCTCAGTCTCTGCAATCCCTTGCGTGTTAGTGGTACTTCTGCCTTGCTTGGGTGAAATGCTTAAAAAAAAAGTTAAAATTCTAACCCAGTTTGTATTCACTTCACATGCACATCCTTAAGGAAGGCATGAATCGACTTCTTTTTCTCCCAGCTATGGATTAAATAGCAGGACAGACTAGACCTTTGTTGATAACCAGTCTAGGAGAACAGCAACAGTGAATTAAATGATTTAAACACAAGCATAAAGGTGGGTGAGCACACAGTTACCATTTCATTGTTAAAATGAAGACTGTTGAATGCAGATAGATTTTACAAGTATTCAGCCAGTTAAAGAGCAATTTGTAAACAGCTGTACCGCTTTGAAAAAGAAAGCTCACCAACAAGACAGTCATGTAAAATCTCTAATACTGTTATCTCCAGTTCAAATGCGGTCAGATAATCAAGTTGTTGGTTGGACCACAGAATAATGTTTGTTGTTTATACATTGACCATTTTATGACTTTAGGAGCTGAATTTTTGACATTTTTCTTTTTAAGAGATGAGTGTATGATCCAATAGAAACTATTTACTGTTTCATAAAATAATTTGAAGATGCAAAAGAATGTATCTCTCTCAATCTGTTCATATCTATTATCTGTCTGTTTAAATCTATCTCAGTCTGTTCATATCTATCTATCTATCTATCTATCTATCTCAGTCTGTTCATTGTCTATCTTTTTCAGTTTATTCATTATCTATTTATCTATCTATCTCAGTCTGTTTATATCTATTTATCTATCTCTGTTCATTGTCTATCTAGCTATCTCAGTCTGTTCATTGTCTATCTATCTATCTATCTCAGTCTGTTTATATCAATCTGCCTATCTATCTATTTCAGTCTCTTCATATCAATTTGTCTATCTATCTCTGTTCATATCAATCTGTCTGTCTCAGTCTGTTCATATTTATGTATCTATCTCAGCCTATCTATCAATCTATTTCAGTCTGTTCATATCTATCGCACTCAGTTTGTTCATATCTATCTATCTATATCACTTTATCTATCCACCTATCTCAGTCTGTTAATGTTTATCCATTATAGTCTGTTCATATCATCTGTCTATCTGTCTATCTGTCTCAGTCTATTCATATATATCTATCTACCCATATATCTCAATATGTTCATTATCTATCTATCTATCTCACTCTGTTCATTATCTATCTATCTATCTATCTATCTATCTATCTCACTCTGTTCATTGTCTATCTATCTATCTCACTCTGTTCATTATCTATCTATCTATCTATCTATCTATCTATCTATCTCACTCTGTTCATTGTCTATCTATCTATCTCACTCTGTTCATTATCTATCTATCTATCTATCTATCTATCTATCTCACTCTGTTCATTGTCTATCTATCTATCTATCTATCTCGGTCTGTTCATTATCTATCTATCTATCTATCTTGGTCTGTTCATTATCTATCTATCTATCTTGGTCTGTTCATTATCTATCTATCTATCTATCTATCTATCTTGGTCTGTTCATTATCTATCTATCTATCTATCTATCTTGGTCTGTTCATTATCTATCTATCTATCTATCTATCTATCTATCTATCTATCTATCTCACTCTGTTCATTATCTATCTATCTATCTATCTATCTATCTATCTATCTCCTCATATATATCTATATATGTATCTATTGTCACACACATACACACATGTCAGTTCCCTATGTTGGGTGAGGCAAATTTTCTCTCAAGAATTTTACATTTCTATAAGTCTACCATGCTTAGAATATTGCAGCCACATATGGTCCAGTGCATCTGCTATTTACCTTGAGCTTCTTGATAAAATCTATAGAAGAATCAGCAATATTATTGGTCCTGATCTGGAAGTTCAGTTCCAGTCACTTTCCCACCGCCATAAAGTTGCCTCCCTGTGCCTTTTATATAAATACTTCCATGGTAATTGTTTGGATGTGCTCTTTACTAGGGTACCTAGCCTTTTTGAATTTAAGTGCAGTATGAGACCAGCTTCAAGATC